TTGAATGCTATTCTATGCGATTCTAACTCTTATATAGAAAGTGGGAGCCGGTTAAGTTTTTTTTTTACATATATAGCGACCAAATAAGTTGGCGTCTTTATTTTGAATTATTGTACTGGTCAAGGAAAAAAGGATATAACGCCACTCTTTCTGGCGCTATGTCACTGTCAGTGTATAACGCCAGAAATAGTAGCGCTATATATTAACGGTGCTGTTACCGTTTATATATAGCGCCACTATTTCTGGCGCTATATATATTTTTGTTACCTTTTCTTTTTACACCTATTTATGTGTTTTGAGTCCAAAATAGCAACATTTTGGTTTCGGACTCGTATATGGAGTGACAAAAAGAGTTTAATTATTGTTAGCTAACTATAAATAAAAGAGAATAAGACAAAAGTGATAAATTATTAAGATTTTAAGTGCGTCAATTGAAATTGTTTAGACCAGATTGCCCTAAACAGGGACGTGCCAACATGTTAAATGAAAATTTTCTGCACTTCCCCCGCCTTCAGATTGTTAAATTGTTGTAGCCCTAGTATCTCCTCTACTCCCAAATGATAATATTTCATCATTTATTTCTTTTAATATGGACAATTTTATATCTTAATAATCTTTGTTTGAGAAGTGCATGAATTTTAACCTTTTAATTTAAGGTTATGGTCATCTCTCATTTTCTAACAGCTTTCCCTTGTTTTAGAACTTCGTTTTGAGCCAATTTTATGTGGGTTCAATTATCCGATAAGTAATGCCATCTCAATTTTTGCTTCACCTCTCTATGTGATATAGCTATAAATAACCCAAAAACTAAGAAAGCCATTTTAACGTCAGAGATGAGTAATGTCATGGGCAGCTTTCCAGCCATGCCCCATGACTCCTTGGGCGCGCTCCGTGGCGTCCTAGCAAACCTCCCAATGCCTAGCGCCACGGACGGCCCCGTGGTCTTGGCCGCGCCAAGTGACAAGCGCGCAGGTGCCTCTGTCGTCCCACCGATATCCCTCGCGGGCGCCAAGCCGCGGGCAGAAGCCAACAGCGCCGCGCGCGCAAACAACGCCGCGCGCAAACAACGCCGCGCGCGCAGACCATGATGCCAAAGACACTGCTACTGACAACGGACCTGCTGCTGCCTTATAGAAAACTAAGTCATTTTCATTGTAAATATAGAGTAATTTTATTTCATGTACTTCCATTATGTTTCTCTAGCTTAGTCAAGTCTAGTCTTGTAACTTTGGATTATTTTTTTTAAGTACTATTAGGGGGATCAAGCAATCAAAACTTTCTAGCAAGCAAGCAATTCTCTGCACTGGTGTCTCTCCCCCTCGACACCGCGTTGCTTTACTGTAATAGCTTTCATTAATGCAATCAAGCTTTCTTTCATTCTGAATTCTCATTTCTGTTCTCTCAATTGCTCTTGACATTGGTTTTCCCGTACGGCACTGACAATCTCGTCTAGCGTACGGAGGGGACTCTTCTTCTCTCATGTCGTCAAATATTGGGGCCTGCCCAAAGACATTGTTAGTGACCGCGACTCACGCTTCACTAGCAACTTTTGGACCCAACTCTTCAAGTGCCTTGGGTCAAAATTGAGTCACAACTCAAGTTTTCATCCGCAA